TGACCATTCCTGTTTGAGTCAAGACTCTAGCCACAGAGGTTAATTATGCAGCATTTTAACAGTGATGTCCATCCTTGGTTTGATCAACCTGAAGCTACCCTCAGCTCCGTATGACCGTCCTCTGCAGAATCTGATGCCACCAACACCAACTTTCCACTGATTACAGTATTTACAGCTTCTTTACCCAACTTAGGCAGTCGTGCCATCTGGCGACAAGACACAGTATGATTAAATGAAACGAGCAACGACTAGACACCTGTTTTTGATGTATTTGGATTGTCTAAAACCTTTTGACATCCCATGTGACAGACGTCAGACTCTGACTACATGATAAACCTCAGGCAGAGATATCAGTCCAAAAATAAAAAGGGCAACACATAAAACCTTTAAACAACTCATCAGGATTCTTCCACCGTAAAAATAATTTACAGTCTGTAAACACTTCTCTAATTACTGAATAAGATCATACCTCAATATTCAGACCAAAGAACAGATTTTCAATCCATTTATGAAATATCTCCCAAAAGCTGCATTTTACTCACTTAGGAGCTGCTAATGTAAAACAATATTCCTGTAAAAATGTGAGCTTAATGAAAACTTAAACTTGGTTATTTTGTCTCTTAGCTCCAAATAACCTGAATCTCCTCTAAAGGCCGGGTCACTCCGGTTGCGTACAACTTTTTAATCTCCATTTAACACTGACTGCGTATAGACAGGCTCTGACTGCACAGGGTGAGCAGATCTGTGCAGATTGTTTCACTTCCGTCTCTGTGCCACACACATTACAACAACTACTGCAATTTGACTTGGACAGATTATGAAAAGTTATTAAAACTAATAAATAAAAAAACAATAGCTAAGATCTAATCAATCCTCCCCAGAGGTTCCCATCAGAACATCAGGGGGAAAAAACAAAACCAAAAAAAAACACATTTTTGTTTCAAACAAACACAAACAGCATCAAGTAAGAACAAATAATTTGATGGATCTATATTAAATCACTCACATCCATCAACAACAACATCAACAAGAGCTGAACGCCTCGGCGGCTTTAGCATCAGTGATTCAGAGAGCTTCTGAATCAATAATTTTTTCATATTTCCAACTGAATCTTGGAATTTCCTTCAATATTTCAACACTTCCCTGGGAGGTGCTGACTGGCTAAGCCTTCATAGGCTACTTCCTCATTTACACCGTGCACACATGTGGACTAGCATACCTATGTTGTTACTGTAAATATATAAAAAGGGCTTTATTTACTAAGAAACGGAGCAAAGTCGAAGAGAAAAACACAAAAATGAATAATACACCAGCAAGATGTAGGAACCTTTTAGAAAAACTTTGTTTTCAAGAGTAGCTGCTTATTAACTTATTAATTGGCCTCTAATCATAGTGAAGTCATGAAGCAGTTTGTTTTTCCACTATTGCTGGTTAAAGCATAATCTACACTAGTGGTGTGGAGAAAAAATTGTTTTGTCAATATATCGGGGTTTTTGGCTTCCTAGTATCGATGTTTTTTAAAGCAAAGCAATTCTACCTAAAACGGTGGGAAAATGGGCTACCTTTGCACCGCCACTCTGACAGATTGCGCTGTGGAGCCCTTTTGCTGTGCGACACAGCGGCATATTTGTAGATGAGGCGGTCACAGTGGAAGATGAGGCGGTCACA